ATAAATGCACGTTTGCTGCCCAGCAAAATAATTCCAGTCCTGTCACGCGTATTGGTAAACTTTCCACGAGTTCCGCGATGTTCACGTGGATCGCACGTTCAAAGTTCAAATCAATACCCTTGTGCTTTGCATCTCCTGCGCCGTCGGAAGACCACCTGTAGTCTCCCACGTTAGCCTAGTTTATGGCTAAGAGGAAGGCAGATGAACCTTAGGCGCACCAGATGGGCAGAAGCAGATCCCACTCAGAATCCCGAGTAGATGACAACCCAGGCGAGTTCTTAGTTAACAAGGAATGGAAGCTGATCAAGAGGCTTGGGGCGGGTTCCTTTGGAGAGATCTTCTATGCCCTAAACAAGGTCACCAACGAGGAGGCAGCAGTGAAAATGGAATTCTTCCGTCATGGTGCACCCGTGCAGCTTCAAACAGAATGTCAGTTACTGCGACTGCTAAAGGACTGCCCCGGTATAGCCAAACTCTTCTGGTATGGTCGTGATGGTGAACAGAATTTTTACACTGCTCTTGTAATGGAATTTTTAGGACCCAGCCTGGAGGATTTGCATGTTTCCTGTGACTGCAAATTTTCGCTGAAAACGGTTGCCCTTTTAGCAGACCAGATGATAAAACGGGTGGAGACGCTGCACAAGCGTTGTCTCATCCATCGCGATATTAAGCCCGATAATTTTGCTATGGGCTGTGGACCAAACTTTAATACTGTCTATATAATTGATTTTGGTCTTTCTAAGTTTTACATGGACCCCAAGACCAAAGAACACTGTCCATTCAAGGACTTTCGAAACCTCACTGGAACTGCACGTTATTGCAGTGTTAACGCCCATGCAGGCTACGAGCAGTCGAGGCGCGATGATCTGGAATCACTTGGATACGTTTTTGTCTACTTTCTTCGTGGTAAATTGCCATGGCAAGGCCTACAGGCAGACAGTAAACGAGAGAAGTTCAGAAAGATATATAAGAAGAAGATGAGCGTCAAAACGGAGTCACTGTGTGAGGGTCTACCGGAGGAGTTCGCCAAATATCTGAATTACTGCAAAAATCTTGCTTTCGAAGAGGAACCCAAGTATCGGTATCTGAGGAGCTTGTTTTGGCGCGTGCTCGACAAAAGGGGCTATAAATATGATTTACAGTTTGACTGGACTATGCCGACAAATGATTTATAACAAACAGTAAGTTTTCTGGAGGGAACGCCGGAACCAGCCATTTTGTGAGACTGATCAAACAAAGCACCTAAAAAATTCAAATTTAAATCAACAGTCCTGATAGGATGTTTTCATTGCAATTACATTTTGTTTTTTTCTTCGGATGACATCTTAGACTGACACAGTCATGATTTTCTGCTGAAAGTTCACAATAAATTGTCCGATTGTGCGCTTGGACGAGATGCTGAGGACCGTTTATATGCAGGCGGTCACTCTGCATACTTCCTAATTTTACCAAAAATTTAATGAATTGTAAATTCACTTCAAGATTATGTCTGTATATAATCATAGTTGCAATGTCTGAGAACACACAAGGTAATTAAATTCGGCCTGTTGTATATGCGGTAGATAACGCAAGAGGTTCAGATAATATTAGACGTTGCAGTTACGCTAGCCATTTAAATGAAGTTAGGAATGCGGTTGTTTAGAGAACAGCGTGAGTAATCCACAGCATACGAAAGCCCACCGACATCTCAGGTTTTTACTTATTCCTTTTTGAGAATTATGAGCAGCC